TTTGACATGTCACTGCTTGCTTTGTCTTGATACACACTGTGTGTATAGAGAAGGTTTTTCATATTTGAAAACTGAGTATAAAATATGTTTTTGATAATATGTAGAGTTGATCTCAACATTTTCCCTACCCTCTTTAATTTGCCATTATATGAAAAACCAGCAACGATAATAAACCCTCAGAAAAACTTTCTTTAGATTCCTTGAACCATGTTTTAAGATTTTTTTTCTCCTCTTTGATGACAATAAATGGATCTCTTTTTATTGCAATCATTTAAGTACATCCAAGCTTCATCTAATGTAACAATACTTTTCCATTTTTATCCAGATAAAGAATTCTGCAGCATGTTTTGCGTTTAGCGATATATCACGGAGAAAGATGATACACATTGTTTTTTCACCTTTTTAAAATTAAAATCGGCATTAATCACTTTGTTTGTTTACAGTTGACACTGAGCATTTTAATGATTTTGCAATTGTCCCTTGACTTGGCGGATTTTCTTTTAACATTAAAGATCTTACTTTTGTAACATTTGAAACATTCCTTTTTCTTGGATATATATTTGGAACAATTTTCCCACTTGAAGCTAAATTTTGATGGCTTTTTCCCTTTTGTTAAAATAATGGCTTTCACAATGTTTTTTAATGACTAGATATGAATGATTTTCTTTAAAAAGAACACAAACATAGCCTTCCATAGCATCTTTAAAAGCGAGATTTTGAACGAAAATAAAACTATCAGGTAGCAGATGATAATTTATAGTTTCAAAAATATAACTACAGTTAAAAATATGTTTTCTCAAGGAGACTTTTTTTTTTTTTGTCAGCAAAGCAAAATCATCTAAAAAAAAAATGAGAACAGTCTCTGTATGTGCATGCATGAATTGGCCATTATCACGTGTGTTCCGGTTTGAAGAGACACATTTCTCTGCCTGTGAATGACAACGTGAAAATCAGTAGAAGCCCACTGATTTAGAGAAGAATGCTAAGTGCAATAGTGTGAACTTTGGAACTTGCTTTCGATTTGCTTGAATGTTGCTGATGAGATGTGAAATATATTCTTGATTGGATTAATTTGTTTTAGTATTTCAATACGTTTTCTTTTATACTAGACTAAATGATGATTTAAACAGAAATAACACTGAACCATACATGTAGAAATTTAAATGCAATATTCAAATTCATCATAGAACATTGATGCTTGACTGAGATTTATCATATAACTTTACTTGAAAGTTAGTATTCTTATGACTGGACACATAGATATCCTTAGCTTTAGATAATTTTATTATTATTATTATTATTACCTGTAGTCCCAAGTTCAAAATGCAGTAAAACTGCTGTGCTTTTGTTGTATGTTAAAGCATACACACTGTATAATAGATAATAGTGCAGTGTATCTAACAAAATTCTACAGTGAATCTAAATTTCTACATGTGTGATTCAGCAGTATTTCTGTCTAAATCAACATTCAGTTTAGTTTAAAGGGGAATTTATTAGAATACCAAAACAAATTAATCTAACCTATATTCTATTTTAACATCTTATCAGCAGCATTCAAGCTGCATCAAGCAAATTGAAAATAAGTTCCAAAGCTCACACTGTTGCCACTTAGTGTTCTCTAAATGAATGCAGTGCATTTGAACATCTCTCAATTCAGACTTGCTAGTCTTTCAGAAGTAAAATCGCAGAATGTTTCTGATTTGTTTCTTTAAAGGTATTTATGTGGTGTTTGTTAGCAGCAGCAAACAAAAATAAGCTAGATGTATTGCCAAACAAAATGCGAGTAATCCTAAGCACTTTCTTATTGTGTTTTACATCTGTAAGTATGTTTGCCCACAAAAACCTCACAGCATGCCACACTATTGTCTATTGTACAATGATGATCTTGGTGCAACCTGTGAGCCATAAAGAGGATTAAGAAGAAAATTTAATTGATTATTCAAAGATTATTTCAAAGGAGATCTGAATTCCATTAAATAGTTGGATATACATGTGATAATGGTAAAGAAGATGTTCAGATCAGTCAATTAAAACCTGAAACTTTCCACAGTACAGTGCTACAAATGTGTATTATAATGATATGCCCCTTCTCTGATGAGGGTAAGTGAGAACTAGTTTGTATTTTGTTAGACAATGGTTTGATGAGAAAAACAGAAATGAACCATTCTTAAATATAGAAATTGAAGGTTTAGAAACTAACCAAAAATGTGCAATTAGCTTATCTTTTCCTGATATCTTAGTTTCCAAAATAAATAAAAGATTATGAGTATTACAGTTGGCTGATTGTTGTGAATACGGTGATAACTATTGCTATTCTGATCAGTAGAGATTATTATCATGAAGTACTAACACATATACTTATATGTTTTAAAAAAAGCAAACCTTCCAAAACAATGCCCTTCAAGGCTAGTGGTGAATTATTAAATATGGAGATTATTTTGACGATAACGATACATTTGAGCCAATTATTTTAACAACCCAGTTAAAGCAGTTTTGGGAATTAAAAGCACTGAGAAAACCGAAAGGAAAGCAGTAAAATATATAATGATATTTTGAAGAATTTTAGCAAAACAATCAAATCAAAAAAAAAAAAAAAAAAAAAGTGATAAGGTTACATTTCCTTGGGAATTCATCTGATTTAAAAACAATTTTCATTAATGCCGAAGCTCACCTTAATAAACTGGCTAAAAGGTTGAGAAATGGTATTACTGCTTCATCAGCAGGATCGGTCAGTTACAGAACAGCATTTAAAAGTGGGTATAGTTGAGGAAATGATCAAAGTTCTCAAGAAACGGGAAGAACTTACTACATGCCTCACCAGCAGTTCTTTGACCTGACAAACCCTTAAGAGTTGTATTTTATGTACCCAGCCATTTGAAAAAACAATATTTTTTAAATGATTATCTTTGTTCTGGTCCTAACTTAAATCTGCCATTGTTAAAGATATCAATACAATTTCATACACATAATACAGCATTTACTGCCAACAACAAACAAGCCTTTCTCCAAATTTCTCAGAACATGTGGATGCTGTGAGGTTTTTGTGGGCAAACATACTTACAGATGTAAAACACAATAAGAAAGTGCTTAGGATTACTCGCATTTTGTTTGGCAATACATCTAGCTTATTTTTGTTTGCTGCTGCTAACAAACACCACATAAATACCTTTAAAGAAACAAATCAGAAACATTCTGCGATTTTACTTCTGAAAGACTAGCAAGTCTGAATTGAGAGATGTTCAAATGCACTGCATTCATTTAGAGAACACTAAGTGGCAACAGTGTGAGCTTTGGAACTTATTTTCAATTTGCTTGATGCAGCTTGAATGCTGCTGATAAGATGTTAAATAGAATATAGGTTAGATTAATTTGTTTTGGTATTCTAAAATTCCCCCTTTAAACTAAACTGATGTTGATTTAGACAGAAATACTTGCTGAATCACATGTAGAAATTTAGATTCACTGTAGAATTTTGTTAGATACACTGCCCATTATCTATTATCATGTATGCTTTAACATACACAAAAGCACAGCAGTTTTCTGCATTTTGAACTTGGGACTACAGTAATAATAATAATAATAATAAATTATCTAAAGCTAAGGATATCTATGTGTCCAGTCATAAGAATACTAACTTTCAAGTAAAGTTATATGATAAATCTCAGTCAAGCATTTTACATTTAGTAAATCAGTATCCTGTTCCCATATGATTTAATTTCTAAATTGAATGAAGCTTTGAAATATTTTTACACTCATATAAACAAAATTCTTTAAATTTAGCCTGATTGAATATATTGGTTAAAATCTAATTTCATTAGAGACTAGTATAAATTAAAGAGTTTTTCACTCCCAGAGTGTCGGGTATGATACACTTCAGTTTCTCTTAGTGGGCCAATGGTATCAAATGTGATACAGGAGCAACGTGTTGAAATGAAATGTTTTATTTCAAACTTTAAATGAGCATGAATTGCATCAGAATGTTCTAAAACTTTATTGATTTAAATTTCTTGAGCGTTTGCCTTGCTATTATAAATCGTTTTCATTATTTTATTCTATAGATGTAAAACTTGCAGTGCTTACAACAAGCATTCAGAATTTAGAAGCATTTCATGCAATGTAAGCTGCTTAAAATTTTGTATGTAAAAATGGCTATAGGATAAAATAGCCACTGATATTTAAATTCAAGTTTCTAACTTCATTATTGCATGGAAATAATTTAAATATATAATTAATTGTAAGTATTAGGATTTTTTTGTTTATATTATAAGGAATAACATTTAAATATCATATGCAAGAATCCAAATGTTTTGATAAAATGCAGATTTCATAGGAACTCTCAGTGATATTCAGAGCTAAAGTCACCGTTGTATGAGGGAACTTTTTCCAACATTGGAAGTGAAGTGGTTAATACTTTGAATTAAGACTTTAAAGGACTGATATAATTCATAAAACATTTCTAATTAATATTACAATGCAATTTATCCAAAATGTATTGTTTTATATTAAATTTTCTACATTTTCCATTTCTCTGTTTGCTGATTTATCATATTAAAATCTTGATCTTCACCTTTGATAACAAATACCTTTTATGTTTTTACATTAGAAAATTGGTTCAAGCAATGAATTTTAAATATTTCATAATTCTCATAGCTTTCACAAATGAAACTTTTAATTTTCTTTCTTTAATATATTCAATATAATAAATATTTCTTTTAATATATTCAATTAAAATTCTGTAGAAGAGCAATTGACTTATTAAGTCAGTAATAGGTACAGCAGCAACCAAGTACTTAGGAAGTGAATAAATATGTTCTCATACATCATCAGCATAACTAAATTTCATGTTTGAAATATGAATCTGACTCTATGTTAAAAGATGCTAGGTTAATGATGTGTTTGTTAATCCATACAATGTGGATTTGCATGCACTATTTATTAAACTTAATGCAAAATTAAAATGAAAATTACATATTAACACTTTTCAAATTAATAAACAAAAATATGCATATTCTGATTTTTATTATACAAATGAATATTTACATATAGTTTCAAATGACAAGAAATATATTAATTCAAATTTTGATTCTGTTTATTTTCTGTGTTTAAACTGTTGCTTTGTAACCAGAGTTTATTAAAGATCCGTCCTGAAAATTAAAATAAATATAATATTAGAAATAATTTTAGTACGCATAAATATAACATATGTATTTTAGTATATTCATTTTCAAACAATTTTAGTGCATATAATCATTGGACATAATTTTTCAATATTTTAATAATATACTTAATGCATGTAATAGAAACAAATTGTGATAGTTGCTATTTATTTACACATCTTATAATAAAGGATAAGTAACAATTTTTGTGAGATACAGAAATGAAGTCACGATGAAAATAGTTGCTTTCTAATGTATATTAGTTTTCATTTTTTTAACCATTAAGAGAAGGCATTTACCATAAATTGAATCATAATTTTCAAATTTTTTGCTGTACATCTAAGTGAATTTACAAAATCTGCTAAGGTTTCCAAGCAACTTCCAGATTTAGTTTCTTTTTCAAAACATAATCAAGGGCAGTTAACTTAGAGCAGCATCAGTTTCTAAACCTATATCAGTTATTGATTTTTCATGCACTTTCTAGTGGAATTCAGCCAATTAAACAATGATGGCATCATCCCCTTCAGTACTGCAAACATACTTTCCAACTCATAGACATAATCATATAATACAGTTTAATCATAACAATCCATAATGCATCAAACTAGCACTTTAGCAAATGTTTTTTCGATGCATAAGAGTTTTCACAATTTACTTCTACACTTCTTTTTTGGTCCAGAATTTTTTCTTTTTAACACTGAAATACATCACTCATTTTTCATCAGTGGTACAAACAAATGCAAACAAAATTTCATGTTTCTCATATACAGAATTACATTGATAGAGTAGAACTGCACACTCACTTCTCATTAGACGAGGATGGGGTATCTATTTTAGTTTCCTTGAATATTTCAAATACAGAATCCTAATATTAACAGTCACATAAGTGATGGGAATTCTCTACAATTTACAATAAATTTCCCTTTGGTTTGGTTATCCGAATGTGCTTTAGTGCTATATTATATTTCTACTGAATAGTACTTCCCATAAACTGGCTCTGAAATTCTTTTACAGTCATAGCATGTTCTATGTCCTATAAAATCTTTATCAAATGCTTTTTTCTTTTCTCTCCTGCAGTCTCATCATTGAAGTATTTAAAATAAAACAATGCACACTGTTTGGCAAAATGTTATAATCATCCTCCCAATACCACGTTGTTATCTGTCATGGAATGGATTCTGTAAATCCTTTGTATATACCTGGAGAAAGACCACCAGAGATCACATAATACCAACAGATTATAAGGAAAACGTTGGTGAGCTTTGACCTGGTTCTCCATGACATTCTAGATGTGTTGAAACAGGATTAATATCTAGTTACTCGGAAGATCAACAGGGATTTATCAGAATGCATTTCAAACCACTGCAGTACAATTTCAGCCTTGTGAAAAGAAGCATTATCCAGTTGAAAGAGTCTATTTCTAACAGAAAAGACAAAAGCTATGAAAGGGTGTAACTGTTCAGTAACAATACTTATGTAGTCTGTATCTGTTGTAATATGTTCTACAACAACCACTTGTCTCAGAAATGCCATGAGAACATTCCCCAAATGATGCTTCAGTATTCCCTGAGAGCCATTAGTCTTTCAACCTTACTTCCATTCACCATTCTCACACTGCATGGGTCATACAGGGTTCGTACACATTTCCTTACATGAAAATTAAGGACTTTTAAGGACCATCAAAGAAAAAATTAAGAACCTATCAGCAAACAAAAAAAACGAATAGAATTAAGCAATTATCGTACACCGACTTCATGTTGTAATTTCACTTTAAGAAAGTAACAGAAGTGTGTATTATGCATATTAAATTATTTTAATACTTACCATAAACAATTTTGAAAATTAAACTAACTCCCTACAGTTTGAAGTAGATAACAAAATTAGAAACATAATTTCTTTAAAAACATGTATAAGTTATTTTACACTAATAACAGTCACTATTTTAGAGATTTACAGATTATTATTTAACTATTTGATATTATTTAAACCAGTCAACTACTTATCATCACATGTAAGAATTTGCAGATTAAAATAACTGATTTGTAAACATACAATTATTTCCTTGTTTTTTGAAAGATACTAGAATAATAAACTGTACAATAAAAGATACAACTTTGCTTTTTTTAAACCTGAAATCTTTTCAGCTTTAACATAGCTACTCTAATTATTTATGTCTATTTCTTTTTCTTTAACTATTCTTCTAAGTTCATTTGCTTGATAAACAATCAATGTTTATGCTGGTCTCAGCTTCATCTGCTAAAGCATCTACTTCTTCATTAATATCTTTAATTTCCCTTTGAAGAATTTTTCGTCTACTTCATATAATCAATTTCTTCCAAGTATTTCGTTCCTCTTTGAATGTTCAGATTTAGTTAAAGATTTTGTTCTTCTAAATACTGCATATTTAGACCTTGCAGAAGCTGCTGCTGATCTCATTCTTTATTAATTTCGATTAAGAAACACCTCCAGAAAATTTTATGTAATCAAATCTGTGCGTTGAAAAATGTATGATGAGTCACTTAAATTTTCAATTTAAATTGCTTTATTTACAGAGAAGCCCCTTTCCACAGAGGCCTGTCCATGTGACAAGATAAGAATCATTTTCACTATTTTCTATACTTTTGAATAATGAAAATCATGAAAAGAGAAGTGAGAAATCTGTCAAGAAAGATTTTGAGGATCAAAGTAGAAATTCATGTAAATTTTCTTAACTACTTTGTCTAGAAACTCTCCAAACTGCAGCAGATTTCATCCCAATCATCTTGTAAAACACGTTATTCTGCATTAATACCATTAGAACTATTTTAATTTTGTTCTGGGCTTTTTCTGGACTTCTAACCATCAATCGCGGTCTATACAAGGTGCATTTCGAATAAGAGAAAATTTATTGACATTTAGACATTAAGGTTGTACTATTGTTAAGACACATTGTTGACCTTCTTGTTTCAATACAAAACTTTCAGCTTGTGAAATATCCTTCTTCTGCGGCATTTATCATTCATTAACTGCGCAGCAATGAATCCCAATAAACTTTACTTTTATCATATAATTATAACAATTTGGATTATAAAATTAAATTTATAAAGATTTTTTTAGTATTTTTGAATATTCTAGTTTCAAAATTTTAAAGTGCTGAGGCAATCATTTACAAGTTTTAAGATATCTTCAGCAAAAAAGGGAATAAGTGATTTATCGCTTTGATAATATTCAAGGAAAGGCAAAAATATTTTCGATAGAGAGAGAAAAAAATTTAATTTTATAAGAAGTGTTTTAGCCTTAGTTGCTCTCCTCCAAAATATTTGAGAACGGATTTCGAATGAATTTTTTTTAAACTGCCCCATTTCAACTTTTTCAATGTACATGTAGCAAGTCATCCCATATCTCAATGGCTCTTTACACTGCTGGGACATTTTGCAACCATCGGTAAAAGTAGCACTTCACAGGAAGCTTTTTTAAGCCAATACTTAAAAAAACCTTCACGTCTTGCAGGAGAATCTTTAAAAATCCAATGTAAGGAGGATAAGAATGATGGAAATGTCCCAGCCAGTGGATGACATCCCATGCTTGAAAGCATTATTAAGAATGTGTAAACTACATGTCCCTAATGTCAAGCATTGAATGTTATATTCTTTTGTCAAGTCCTGTTGCAATAAATCATAAAATTTCCAGTTTACTGCAGGACCAGAGTTTGTAAGAGTTTTGACAAGTCTAGTTTTTCAACACATTCATAAAATGTGGATAAAATAATTTCACTTTTTGCATGCCCTATAAATGCAGAAGTAAGGTACTGAGTTCTGACCTTATTTTCGTGATGCCAGTACCTCACATAAATACCTAGTTGCTTCTTTTGATTTGTCAGATTAAGAGTCTCATGAAATAGTAATGTAAAAAACTCAGCATTTTTACAATACTTTAGTACAAAGTTTTAAAATAAGGGCCAAGACCAAAATAACAGATATAAACACATTTCTTTTCACCACATGAAAAATTTTGCAATGGAACTATCCAGGAACATTTTAGTGAATAACGGCCCAATATCATCGCACGATTTAAAGAATAGTGGCTTCTGATGCAATTAAAAGCCCACATATTTCTGCATCTGTAACTTCAGATTTGAAAAGAAAAAAGATGATTTTTTTACACTTATTGATGTTGAATTAGCAGTTACATCTTTTCCTGAAGTAGATGGTTCTTCTAACTTCATGACTGACAAAATTCATGATACTGTTAGAAGAAACTCTGCAGTTGAGAAGGGAAAGATGTTTTGCAAGTAAAAGGGGCATTACATGCAAGGCATTAGTAAAATTAAGTATCACATATATTGTATATATAAAGAAATCTATATATATAATAGAAATGTATACTGAAAAAATATATATGTATACAGTACATATATATATACAGTACAAATTCCGAGATCAGGACATCCAGTATCTGGAATGATCTAAAATCCGGACCTCAAAGCCACCACCAACCAATTTTTTAGGGCTTTTTTGGAGGGAAGGGGTATGCTTTACGCATGCGCATTAGATTTTTTTCCTCATCATAAAAAAACATGTCGGAAATCCCGATTCTTAATCTCAGTTTGGCGCTAAATAAAATATCTCATTATTGAAGAAATAATTATTTTAGCATAAATTTGTGTGATTAGTTTAGTAACTTGACTCCATAGCTGCGTATCTGCTTGGCATAATCTCAAAAAGAAACATTGATTAATTTTACACCAACTAATATTTTATATCCTTGATGCCGAAAATCGCGAATCATTATTTATTGTATTGTGCTTTCATCACCACATGTTTCAACGGATGACAACTTGAGTGATGACTCATGCAGCGACGCCAAATAACAGAGTATTATCCGATTACAGATTTAAGTTTAATGCGCTAAAATGTTGACAAGGGGAGATTTAACAGAAATTTCTTTCCTTATGCTAAAAATAGATTTTGATAATGATACTCATAGGACAAACGATTATATTTAGTGCTATTTGACTTAAGAATAACTGATCTGTTATTCCCATAAAACCAGAACCAGCGCCAGAGCTCGCATGGCCGCACCAGGCGGCAGAATTTAGGGAAGTTAAACAGAAGTTTTTCATTGCGATGACAATGCCCCAATCATCAATCAATTAACGGAGGGCGAAATCTGTAGTATGTTCTAAATCCAGAAAATACAGATATCGATAGTGAAGAAAGTAACAGAGAGGTTATGAACGAGAAAAAATTTTGTTGACAAGTTATACGGAATTCTCGACACAGCAATTACAGGACTTGAACAATGGAACTTAATAACTCAACAAGAAATTTGTCTATAGTATTAGTCTAAAGTATCAGCAGAGAAACAAATCAAAACATTGAAAAATGTTTAATAAAGTAAACATATAAATATTAAGCTCTTTCTTTTGTAAATTTGATACCCTTTAAATCATAAATGCTTCATTATTTCATAAATCACGATTTCATTTTCAATTTTATAATTTCTACGCCATCTTACTAGATTTAAATGATCTATATCCGTAAACGGAATGTATATTTTCAGTTAAACTTCTACCCAATAATTTTAGTAATTCATGAAAGTTAATTTTGCGTCTAGTTAATTCAGGAAAATTAGTTTCAATTAGTGGTTTAGCTTTAAAAATATTAAAATTTTTTAATAGTTAGTTGTTTTCAACTAATAATTGTATCGCCATTAGCAAAATAATGCAGCATAGGATTAAACCAAATACTTAATTGTCTATTGAAGCTTCAAAACGTATTTCCGAACTTCACTTTTTCTCGGCTAGCGTTACTGAATTTGCCTTGGCGACCTAAAATCGAAATGGAGCAACAGATTTCCGCGAAATGAAACAGACCCTCGCAGAAGTAAACTCATAATCCCGATATCCATACATATAGTATGTGCAAAGAGAATAAACTCCGTAGAGGTGATAAAAAATTAATTTATGGTTATTGAAACAAACACAGAAATTAAGCTAAGGAAAACCGTTTAAAAAACAAATAGAAATGATAAAACGAAACTTAATTTTCACTGAATTTTCAGCGCTGATTCCCTTATAGAAATTTCAATTTGTTTCAGACAAGACCAATTTAGCTTTATAAGGATTGCATCCATCAATATCCATCTTTGTAGTCAGTTGATGAAGCCACAGTTTATTGAAAATGCACTTTCCAGGCATCTCCTTCTTTATTGGGTCGGAAATGTTGTGGTCTTCCAGGGGGGTTTGCTCTAATTTTGGCAAATATTTCAGAACCCCCTTTTTTTTCTCGAGCACCTTCATCACTTTCGCCTCTTAAAGAAACTTCCGCTTCACGCTTTCATCACAATCTGCTAAATTTAGGGATAACACGTTTTGAAGATTGGGTGAATAGCCAATCAGACACCCATCTTTTTCGGTAGCTAATTTTTTTTTTTTTTATCGTTGCAACGCAAGTCCGCTGACAGATTGGTTTAAGAGCGTGCAATTTTAATTCCTTTCTGAGAAATCGCAATTCACACATAGAATGGGCAATCGTTAGAAATGATAAAGAAATGTCAAATGAGCAAAATTAAGGACCGTTTATTCATTTTGGCCAAAATTAAGGACTTTTAAGGACCAAAAATCATTTTTGAAAAATTAAGTACTTTTAAGGACCGTACGAACCCTGGTCATAGTGCTTTGACTGATCAATGTAGCTTCCATTGATATTTCCATTGTATTATTATCATGTGCCGCTTTTCTACAACACAATAACATAATGCTCAATGTAACCATCATTCACAAAAAGCAATCTGCAATATTTGTCATCAGCTATATTTGATAGTCAAACATGCTATGGTATAATTTTCCAGAAATAGTCTTGATAAAATCTGCTAAAAGCGGATTTCAAATCATAATAAACATTCATTTCTTAAATACTTTTAATAACTGCTGAACTGCTAAATATACTACACAAAACAAAATAAGACAACAAAGGAAATGCTGGTATTTTATATTAAGCCTCAGACATATGTTTGTTCATAAATATATTGCTCATTGATATATATGAAAAATGAGAATTTTATTATTTCTTTTTACATGTAATGGTAACAGAATTAATTGCTAAATATTTCAAACATTATTTATTCTTCTGTATTAATTTAATTAAATAATAAAATAATCATACCAGGTTAGTTTTAAATATTGTCTTCAGTTGTTTAATGATTTCATTTCTATATTTGTTGAACTCGGATGGATTTGACAAGCCCTGTTTCAGCAAATCAGCTGCAGTAACTCCAGTTGGATTTTCTGCAGCTTTTAAATATTTCTTTGGATTTGATGAAATATTCAAAAGATTTGTATGGACCTAAAAAAAAAAAAAAAAAAAAAAAAAAAACACTGTGTGGGATTTAAAAAATACTTTGTATATTTAATGTCAGTTATAAAAAAGAAATATATTATTGTTTTAAGTGTTAGAATGGCTATCATCACACACACACAAACAAACAAACAAACAAAAAAATAAGATAACAATATTGTTGTGGAATACACACAACATAAAGTACTATACCAAAGTATCCCTTCAAAGTTTTTAAAAAATCGAAACTTGTGAAAAAATATATAACAGAAATAAATTCCTTTTATCACCAAAGAAAATGATGAGAAAATAGTTAATAATTAAAAATGAATGCAGGTTTGTATCGAGAGCTCGACCAAAAGCCAATCAAAAACAACCAAAGCATCAACATTAAAATTTTATACACAATTGCCTACATAGAATATTGATTAAAATTTCAGAAATATATTGATCACATATAACACAACATAAATACTGTAAAAGCAAATCTGGTGTGGATACCACATGACTTCTTTGTAATTAAATTTCTTTTCGTCTTTGTAAAGATATAAAAATAGTATTTTCTGCTCATTCATTGAAACGTATTCCTGGATTTCATCAGCATATTCTCATTCAATTAATTAGCTGTCACAAAAGAAAGGCAAAAAAATACATAAAACCCAAATTTTTATTAAAAAAATTTAAAAAAGGAAAAGTTTAAAACCACATAAGTTAAACATTTAAAAAAATGCAATTAAAATAGAGTTCTACACAAAAACAGCAATCAGCCAGCGTTCAAGAAGCGATTTTCAGGTACAAACGAAAGGTAGTGGAAAAATGCAAAATGACACGAAAGCAGAAAAACTCATCATTTTCTGGAAGTTTCAAATGCAAAAAAAAAAAAAAAAAAAAAGCTGCTATGATAACAAAAATTAGGCTTAGCTGGATGCTATCATTTAGTATAGCCCACCCAGATTTTTCATCAAAAAATATTGCCTAGCATAGTGATAAATGATATGTGGTAACCCATACCATTTAGCAAATGCAATGTAAACAAAAGTAAATTTCTGGAATTAATGGTTACAGCTAACATTTACAGCTAATAGTGGTCAATTATGTTTATTCAATTTCAATACAAATTACCAACATATTTGTTTACTCAAAGTTAAATGCACGTGATCCTGTATCCTTACTTTTCTGGCATGGCCTTCTCTTAAAATTTGTCTCGCTCTGCATTGCATGAGGAAATACAACAATTTTAATTACTTGTATAATTCTACTCAAATTAACTATCTAAATACAAAATTCATAGCACTGTTATCGGCAATTATTTAACACTCAGACATTGTAGAGAATATTGTTTTGGAGATAAGATTTTTAGCTACTTTGGAGGTGAGAATTTTGCACTTAGAGCTTGCTGTAAACCTGCTGTTAGTGATGTTGTAATTAAGTATCAGGAGATCTTAAAGGAAAATTTAGGTGGACTTTCAACAGCGTTAAATTTGGGAAGGGGTATTTAAACATTTTAGTATAATAGGAGTATTACTATTAGAGGATTTTGATGAATGAAAGGATACAGTTGTGTGAAAAATTAATACAATGTGGCGTAGTTGTCATAAAAGTCATCCAGAAGTAGATTGGAGATGCAAAAAGTGTGGCTGAGAATCAATTGGTTAAGATCTTGGTTGCTGTTGTAGCTATTACAGTTAATTATTCTTATTAATATATTTTAAGGGAATCTAAAGATTTTCGCATGTTTTAAAAACTTCAATCTTTTAACATTAATATCCTTACTTTTTCTTTCTCTTAAAGCATGTATAATAGTAATATTTATTTTTTCTATGATTTCTAGTGAAAACAAGGAGATCGCCATTTTTGAAACATTGCAGTTCGTCGGAAACGTCGATTGAACATTTTCAAAACACGCTATTGACTCGCTTTGGCAAACTAAAAATTCGCCATATTTTAAAGGTGGGCTGTACTGAGCTGGTTTAATTGTTAATAATTTACACTATTGGCAGCTTAAAGCATGAAAACCTTAACTGGACGAAGAACAAATAATCACTTATTTTAAAGCAGAAATGCATATTTACCACAATAAGAATAAAAAAAAACTGAGCTTACGAAGCCAAGTGGGTATATATTATACAGTATTAAAGTCCGCTAATGAATCGTTAATCTGTGTGGATGCGTGAAATTACGTTAATCCAATGATTTATGGTGAAAGGCCATTATGATCTAAAGGTTAAAAAAAAAAAAAAAAAAAAAAAAAAAAAAAGGGGGGGGGGGTCAATATTATTTGTTTACTTTATAAAATTCTTTCAATGTAGTTGTTAAGTTGCTCGTTTGTGTACTATACTTCTTTAATTCTATAAACCGACACAGCCAGCTGCTACATCTAACCATGTGTAAAATCTCTAGGATACTCTTGGATGGATAACTGCAACTCGTCTTTCCTTTCCCAGAACTCTTTAGGTCCTGAAACTAATTGTTGCTGCAAAAATGCTACTAAATGAGGATCAAAAACTGCCTCATCTTTACATGAAATTGCGCTATGAGAGCTGTATGTTTGCTAGCGGGAACTAGATACACTATAAGCCTTCTTTCCTGGTTCGATCTTGCAACCTCTGTTTTAGACCTTCTGCGCTGATGAACCTTACACACGATCATGTGCATGTACCATAAATGTATAAAAGTATATATATTTGTTGTTATATGAACCTATATCCATACCGAGTTCCATTAAAACTTGTTCCTCAGGTCTTTACTTTTGAACGCCAGTGTAGTTGATTACACAGTTTGAATGCCTTTCCATGAATGATATGATTCATTTTCCTTTAGAACATTCTTCACTAGACACTAGTTCTTCTTAAAGCAAATTTCCCCTTTCATGCCGTAAGTTGTCATCTTTACTAAATAATATAGATCCCTTTTCATATTCTGGTCTAATATTTTAATCTGATTTTCCCAAGCACAGAAGTAAATAAATAAGTAATAAATTAAATATAAAGGGATGGAATATTTAGCGATACATTATGAGGGTAGCTTGACCAAAAAAAGGCTCTCTGGATAGTTGCTACAGCCTCTTTTTTAAAGTTTCATATATTAATTGAAATGGAGCGAAAATTCTTATTGCAATACAGATTTATCTTTCAACCTAGA